GCCGAGGAACTTCCCGATCTGAACCGCAAATGTGCACTTGGTCGGGTTCAGCCGTAACTGATACTTCCTCATGATCTGGAAGCACTCCCGGAGATCTCGAGTGTGGTCGGATCGGTCTCGACTCTTGACCAGCATGTCATCAATGTACGCCTCCATCGTTCGGCCTAACAGATCGGCAAAGAGCATATTGACCATCCTCTGATAGGTCGCTCCCGCATTGCGAAGGCCAAACGGCATCACTTGGTAGCAATACAGCCCGTCTGGGGTAACGAAGGCTGTTTTGCTCTCATCTTCATGGTGCATCATTATTTGATGATACCCCTTGAATGCATCTATGAAACTCATCAACTCGGCCCCGGCTGTCTCGTCGACCATCTGGTGAATGCTCGGTAGTGGATACGGGTCGAGCGGACAGGCCTTGTTGAGGTCGGTGAAGTCAATACACATCCTCCACGCTGGGGGCTTAGGAACAAGAACGATATTGGCCATCCACTCGGGATAAATCACCGGCCGGATGTGCTCGATCGCCGGCATCTTCTTGACTTCTTCCCTGACAAACTCGCGGCGATCAGATGAAAGATGTCGGGTCTTCTGCACGACCGGCTTAGCTGCGGGATCGACTGCTAATTTATGACAAATAACCGATCAGTCGATCCCGGGCATGTCTTCGGGCCCCCATGCAAAGATGTCAGAAAACTCTCGGAGTATTGCTAGAACTTCCGCTCGGAGCTCGGGGGTAAGTGCCCGGCCAATCTTGATCTTCCTGTCCGGTCGGTCTTCGGACAAAGGAACTTCTTCTATTTCTTCGGAAGGCTCAGGTTGCTCCTTCCGGTCTTTGGCCTCCTCTTTAGCGATCGTGTTCACCCAGGAAGACGGACTGGAGTCCCGTCTATTGACCGCTCGGGTGTAACACTTCCGGGCGGATTGGACATCGCCACGGACCACGCCGACCCCATTGGGGGTGGGGAATTTCATGCACAGATGAGGCATTGAAATTATCCCACCAATCTTCATGATTGCGGGTCGGCCTAAGATAATGTTGTGGACGCAGTGCAGATTGACCACAACGAACTCCAATTCCGTCTTGATCGACTTCGGGGACGTGCCGATCTCGACTGGGAGCATTATTTTCCCTTCGGGGTAAACGAGCGCCCCGGTAAATCCCGACAGTGGTACACCGACCGGAGTCAGCTCCTTCCTGTCAAGCCCAAGCTTCTCAAACACGTCCAAATAAAGGACGTTGACACTGCTCCCAGTGTCCATCATAACCCTCTGGACATCTGTCCCTTTGACATCAATCGTGACCACGAGTGCCTCCATGCCGTGATCACTGCTGCTAGGTTGATCTTCGAGGGTGAAGGTTATGGGTTCCATCTTTTGCCTCTTCCCGGTCTCTTGGGAATCTACAACTGTGACCGGGCAGTTCTCTCTCGACCGGGAAGCATCATCCAATCCACCAAAGATTACGTGGATTGTGGGCTTTCCCGCCGGTCGGCTGCTGGAAGGGGGGTCATCACGACGATCGTCCCTTCGATCATCTCTTCGGTCCCGGTCAGACCGATCGGAGCGTCCATCACGATCAGAACGATCGGAGCGGTGATGAGAACGCCGGTGATCTCTCCGATCGGTATTTTTCTTCGTCTCTTCTCTCTTCCCCACACACTTGTCCAACTTCCCAAGATTGAGCAAATCCTCTAATAGTTGGCGCAAGTTGGTGCACTCCTTGGTGTCATGCCCGACACATCGATGGTAAGCACAGTGCTTACTCTTGTCAGGGCCGTCTTGATCGGGATGGGGGAGTTTGATAAGGTTGCAGGACTGGGCGTACTGCATGGCCTCCGCTGCAGATCGGTTCAGGGCCGTGAACTCACCGTGCCTGGTGCGGGATCGGGGATGATCATCACCCGATCGATGATCCACCCGGCCGGCCGGTTTACGGGAAGACGTCCCGACCTCCTGCGAGCGTTTCATGGCGTTCGCCTCGCCGGCGTTGGCATAATCCGTGACCCTTCGAAGGGCCTCTTCGTACGTGGCCAGGGGGTGTAGAATGAAATCCTGATACAAATATCCCGCCCGGAGGGAAATGTGAAGCATGTGGGTGGCGGTGGCGTCGTCCATGGGCTCGACTTCCCCGACCGCTGCCTTCTACTTGATGAGGAAATCGGTCAAGCTTTCCCCTTCCAGCTGCTTGGCCTTTTCTAAGTACATGTAGGACTTTCTCACCACCTTGGAGGTGATGAACTTCCTCACGAACTTGATCGCCAGGGCGTTAAAATCTGCAATCGAGCCCGGCTGCAAAGTTTGGAACCATTCCGCCGCCCGACCGGTGAGCGTGGAATAGAAAGCCCTGCACATCACGGCGTCTGACACGCCCTTCAACATCATGTTGCCGTAGAAATCATTGACATGGACCTCAGGGTCCGTTCGGCCATCATAACTTTTCTCCCCGGAGACTTTTAGATTGAGCGGGTATGGCTGGGCCATCACCTCCGCTGTAAAGGGCGTCCTGAGCAAGGACGATTGGTCGACCGGGGCTCTCAGAGGGTGCTCATTCTGAAATTAAGCGAATTCTGCCTGAAGGGTGTGCAGCAATCCTCGGGTCTGGATGAGCTCGGTCGTCTGGGCGTTTTGGGCAGACTCCCGAGCGCGTCGTCGACGGTGAGATCTCGACCCGCTATGCCCGGACGAAGCCTTCTGGCTAGCCTCCTGCATCTGTACGTCTTCCGGCTGCCGGCTCGGGTCTTGGGGTCCCAAACGTTGTCGCATCGCCGGTCGAAGACGATCAAAAGCTACCGCCCGGGTAACTTCTTCGGGGTCCTCCGCTCGGACTGGAACCTCCGGTACTTGCTGGGCCTGCCGTGGTGCCTCCATCGCATCGGCACCCCCCGACCCCAACCGCGAACGAGCCGAGCGTCGAGCCCGAGAAGTGGGCTGATGCTGCGGCTCTACATGTGCTGCCGGGTAAACTGGGGGGGCGGCGGCTGGAGCCGTGTACGCAGGCGTGTAAGGTGGGTAGCCAACCGGTGGTGTGAAAAACATCGGTTGACCGGGCCAGTACCCGTACGGTTGAGGACGGACCGGGTACGGATATTGGCCGGGATACGGCATCTGTTGCTGCTGGTACTGTTGACCGGGTGTTGGGTATCCCTGTTGGACGTAGTTCACCGGCTGTTGGATGGCCGGGTATGTATTCGAAAGATGGGGTGGCGAAAGGTTGAGATTAAGGTCCATTGTCTGACCTTGCTGCTGGGTTGCCTGGTGGTCGGATGTGCTCGCTGCATCCGCCTGATCGTCTGTAAAGTTGTTGTGTGCCCACGGATACATGATTGCTAAGAGACCGGGTGCTCGTCAAGACGATAGCTTTCTTGCACGGGTCCCCACAGACGGTGCCAAAATGATAGTGTAAATTGCCATGTAGTGCGGTAATTAAGTAAATATGAGACCAATTAAAGCAAATAAACAACTCTTATTGATCACAACGAAGGCCCTAAGTACAATCTAAGTGGTTGCTCTGAGTACCGACTGGATGCGGTCGGGATTCTCTAGTAACAACCTATCGATCGTCCCAAAGTCCCTCACACTGTCGCTACTGCGGGTATTTATAGCCGCGGCGCCGGAGGCACAAATCCGGCCGTCCGGCATGCTTCCCACGTAGCCACCACGTGTCGCCGTCCCGGGCGCCCTGCCTGTCAATGCGTGGAGCCGCCACGTGTCCCTCGCCAGCTCTCTCGCTAAAGGGCTACCACTCGACGGTCGGCACTGCCACTCGGGTAACTCCCGGTTGTATCCTGACCGGGTTCTTCACAGAAAACCCGACCTGTAACCTGCAAAAACAAGAAGATGAGGACGAAGGCCCACCGGTCGAGGTAATTCTATGTCGGTCGGGGTATTCCCTACCAATATTAATAATATATGAATCAATATATAATTATTTAAATTAGAACATCAAATATTATATAGTACAATTAAAGATATGATTTGGATCGTTTATATATTTTGATGTTATCATTGCTTGAATTTGTGCAAATAATTGCTCAAATTAATTGCTATATTTAGATGTACGCATGCGATGCTATAACTTTGAAGATTTTATTTATCATTGTTTAATATTTTCATAAATTAGGCAAATGTGCTCGTTCTCTAACAACTTAGTTATAGAAATGAATTGCTATATCCTTATTAACTTGTATGGAAGATATATTTTTTTTGTCAAGTTATATAGCAACTTTTTCATTTAAAAAAAAAAAACTTAATATCACCGATTATATTTACACATTATTGAAACCTCTTTGTAGACGACATTGGTAGTGACAAAACAATCTTGTTCATCTTCGTCTAGAGCTAACACTTTCAATCCATTAAGACGGGTTACTTGGGTGAAAATATATAATGGTAGAATATCACTTAATTAGTTATCCTTTTATATTTTTAGATAATTAGTAATATCAGATTCATTTTTAGCCAATTATTTTTTTTTATATTTTCAGTCAATTAGTCAATTAGAATATCAAATGCATTGATATTTTTACATAATTTTCGTTCCATTTTTATTTGATGATGTAGATATTATTATTGAAATATTTCCATTCCATTTTTAATTTACCTTTACTATTGTTTAAAATATGCATTTACTATTGATAATGTAGAATATTATTATTGAAATATTTTCTCACAATTTTTAATTAAAGTGCAATAATCTGACCATTTCTTTTTTCATTTTAGTCAATTATGAATCATTTTTTATTTGCAATCAATTATTAATATTCATTTCCTTTTATATTTTCATTCCTTTTATATTTAGACTTGGACAGAGTTAAATAGGTGAGTACATGTTATTATGAGATAATTCTAACTACGTAGCATGTTTGACTTGTTTGCACCTCTGATAATTTTGAGGTCAAAATCTAAAATAGTTAGAAATTTGAGGTCTTAAATGAAATTGAAATTTGTTTTTATTTTTACTTTTTTCTTTTTCCTTATTTCATGGGAGCATAAAATGCATCACGCAAAATGGAGGGAGTGGGATTGTGGAACGGGGCGGGTTGTCCATTTACCCAATCGGACCCTCCACAAACACAGAGAGAGAGAGAGAGAGAGAGAGAGAGAGAGAGCTCTGCAACAGAATTACACTCCAGCCCGCCCACCGAAGAGAAACTCGGTAGCTCCGAAGGGCCCGTGACGTCGACCGCCATAGCTCATCAAAATTGTTTATGGCGATGCTGTGAAGCTTTTGGAAATGGCGTTCGAGGTGAGAGTTCTCTCAACTTCAATTTCAATTCTCATTTCCACTCCTATTCCCACTTAAAGAAGCGTCGTTGCTCTACTACTAGGGTTTACTGTATAAATTTTTTCTTCATTTTTCTGCTTGTATGTTGTTCTGGTGCACAGTGCACTGAATGTCTGAATTATAGCTGAAACCACGTTCTCTGTCAGTCTGGCATCTCCGCGATAATGACAACTGAAAACTAAAATACTAAATAATAATTCTCTATTCCAATGTAAATATGTGATGCATTTTATTGTTTCAGTTAATATTTTTCTTGCTTTTTTATTTATTTTAATTTTAATTTTTTTTTATGTCATTGTAATTTAGTCCCCAGTATTGATGTTAAACCTGTAATTAGCAAAAAGAACTGTAACATTCAGCTTTAATGTCTTTTGGTTTACTGCATGTGTTATATTGTCAAAATTACATTCTTCTGTCTCAATTCTCAAAGAATGCCTGGTGAAAGGCCAAAGATGAAGCTAAAGAAATCTTCTTTTTTCCCCTTTTATTGGTTTGGTTTAGTGCCTACATTATTTCCAATTTATATTGGTTGGAATTGGGTTATGAAGAGAAAGAGGAATAATTTATGATAGTAACCAATGATTACAATCATGTTTGTCTAGGTATTTTCATCAATTGAGCTCCTTATATTAAGCTGTGTGGTTATTGCACTTTTTTTCCATATATTGGTAAGACCAATCATTTTAAGCTGCTCATCATGAATCTTCATTCTAGCTTTTATATTTTAATACATTTGTGTCCATTTCAGCAATAGTTGTTTAGAAATTTTAGAACCAACTCTATCAAGTCAATTAAATGATCATGAAAGGCTACATTGAATTTGGATTTCTTTTGTCAATCTATCCCTTAAAGATTAAAGAAGATTATGTTCCCCTTGTGTTCTTTAAATTGAATTAGCTTATTTCGCATTTTGCCATTGTTATATGTAAATAATGCTTAATAGAGTTCAATGTTCCTTCCATCTTATAGATGTGACCAAAGGCCATTCAAAACCTGAAAAGTTAATAAAATTGTTAATGTCATTCCCTTGACAAGATGGATGGTGAGGTGATTGGTGTCAAGGGGAACCAGAGGCCAAAAGATGGGGAAGCAAACATTGAGAGGAAAAAGGATGGAAAAAGGAATAGAGAAACGCATGCAGAACATAAGGATGGAAAACAGAATTTGCTTGGATATTCTACTGAAGAAGAGTCTAGTAATGAGGTTGAAAAGCCATTTGTTGGAATGGTGTTTGAATCTGAAGAAGCAGCAAGGAAATATTATGATGCATATGCTAGGCATGGGGGTTTTAGTACTCATGTTGGTCAGTACAGCCGGGCTAAGCCTGATGGACCCATTGTTAGTTGGGACTTTTCATGTTCCAGAGAGGTTTTTAAGAGGAAGAATGTTGAAAGTTGCAATGCAATGATCCGAATAGAGAGAAAAAACACAGAAAATTGGATTGTGACTAAGTTTGTTGAAGATCACAACCATTCTATAGTGGGTCCCAGCAAGGTGCATTATCTTCGGCCTCGAAGACATTTTGCTGGTGCTTCAAAAAATGTGGTGGAAATTCCTGACAGCCAAGCTGATGCTATGGTCTCCATGGATGGAAACCATGTAAGTTGCAATACTAATCAAGGTGTTCATAATGCAGTCAGTACTAAAGGTGTTCCAATTGCAATGGCTACTAACCAATGTACTCAAATTGCAGCCAATACTAATCAGGTTCTGCAGAATGCTTTTTCATTAGAGGCTAATCATATAACAAGGACTATCAGCCCTGTTACACCAGTAAATTTTATTCAACCCTGCAGCCGGAGAAGAGCTCTGGGAAGATATGCTCAGAATCTCCTTGACTATTTCAAAAAGATGCAAGCTGAAAATCCTGGTTTCTATTATGCTATACAGCTTGATGAAGACAACAGGATGACAAATGTATTCTGGGCCGATGCTAGATCAAGAGTAGCATACAGTCACTTTGGTGATGCTGTCATATTTGATACAATGTATAGACCAAATCAATTCCAAGTTCCTATTGCTCCATTCACTGGAGTTAATCATCATGGTCAAATGGTTTCATTTGGCTGTGCATTACTTTTTGATGAGTCTGAATCTTCTTTTACGTGGCTTTTCCAAACGTGGTTATCTGCTATGAATAACTGTGCACCTGTTTCTATAACAACTGACCAGGATAGAGCCATTAAGGCTGCAATAAACCAGGTCTTGCCAGGAACCCGTCACTGCATTTGCAAGTGGCATATTCTGCGAGAAGGGCAAGAGCGGTTGACTCATGTGTATATGGCTTATCCATCCTTTCATGGGGAGTTGTATAGTTGCATTAACTATTCTGAGACAATTGAGGATTTTGAATCATCTTGGACTTCTCTACTTGATAAATTTGATGTCCATAATAATGAGTGGCTCCAAGCCGTATATATTGCTCGCCAGCAGTGGTCTCCTGTATATTTTCGAGATACATTCTTTGCTGTACTTTCATCAAAACATGGCGTGAGCTCCTTCTTTGATGGGTATGTGAATCAGCAGACAGCTCTGCCTGATTTTTTCAAACAGTATGAAAGAGCTTTAGAGAATTCACTTGAAAGAGAAATTGAAGCAGACTTTGATACAATTTGCACAGCACCAATGCTGAAAACCCCATCACCAATGGAACAACAAGCCGCAAACTTATACACCAGAAAAGTTTTCACTAAGTTTCAAGAAGAATTAGTTGAAACTTTTGTTTATACTGCCAACAAGATTGATGGTGATGAGGTACTAAGCAAATTTCGGGTTGCAAAATATGAACATGATGATAAAGCATTTATAGTTGAATTGAATTTTGCCGAGACAAAAGCAAGTTGCAGCTGTCAAATGTTTGAGTATTCTGGCATTCTCTGTAGACATATATTAACTGTATTTACTGTGACAAATGTTCTCACAGTTCCATCACATTATATATTAAAGCGGTGGACAAGGAATGCAAAATCTGTACTTGGGTCAGATGAACAAGATGCTGTAGCACGAGCTATTGACTCTTTGGCGTCACGTTTCAACAATTTATGTCAGGATGCTTTAAAATATGCAGAAGAAGGAGCAGTTGCTGTGGAGACCTATGATGCAGCAAGTAGTGCTCTAAGAGAAGGGTCAAGAAAGATTGCCATTATGAAGAAACATGTGGCCAAAGTCCGACCTCCTACTGCACTTGCCAGTGGAAATCCCAATGATGATAGTAACAAAAAAACTCCTTCAACTACATCTGACACAGGGTGGCCCTGGCAAGATGTAATGCCATATCACATTAATCTCAATGATGTAGGTGTGCCTGTTGGTGATTTGGATCAACCAACCATGACTCCTGTGGCCATAAACCGTGATGCTTCCTTTGCTGATAATACGGTATGAAAGTGGGGAGATACCTTTTTGCTGTCTATTGTCATATATGCAAGGTTCCGTTTCTAACTTTCTATTGTTCACAAATGATATAGAAAACCATGAAAAACTAAACTGATATAACTGATTGTTGTTATGTTTCATTGTTTTGGTGTTTTATTCTTGGTTGCCTTTCTACTATGCAGGTTGTCTATACTTGTTTCAAGTCTATGACATGGATGATTGAAAGTAAAAATCCAGCAAATAAAGTTGCTGTCATCAATTTGAAGGTGTGTATAAGCATGTTTCCTCACTCTTTTATTATTGTTATTACATTTTTTTTTAATGAATTTTATTCCTTTTCTGTCACATTTAGCTTACTATGGTGGTTTAGTGAATAAAAGCTATGTGTAGAAAACACTCTGTAATTGAGAACTATAATTGTGATAAATACCTTTATTGAGTTCAGAAGAATCAGAACAAGCTGGAATAAATGTCTGATCTAATATTATCATGCATTGTATTTCATTATTAGGCAGTTGCTTCTGATGAAATTTTGTTAGTGTTTTAGAACTTCACTTTCCAAAAGTTTCGTTGCATTGCAGCTGCAAGACTATGGCAAGAGTCCAGCTGGAGAAACTGAAGTGCAATTTCGACTTACAAGAGTTACACTGGAGCCAATGCTGAAATCCATGGCTTACATAAGCCAACAGCTTTCAATGCCAGCAAATAGAGTTGCTGTTATCAATCTAAAGGTGCACACAGTGATTTTCCATTAATTCTAATTGTTGTCACTATCTGGATATTATAATAAAAATTATGAAATTATTCCACTGCAAGATGGTTGCTTTGCTGTTTACCTTGTTTTGACATTAGCAAATACGGAGTATAAACTAGTGAAATTAAAAACAATTGCATATGGGGACAGAAGCACATTCCTTTCCATTATCATCTAGATTTTATTGACATGGATGATAACTATCCTAATTTAGATATGTAAGATTTAGATTGGGACTTTCATGGATAGTATGATGCGACATTGTGAATAATCCATAATCTACTCCAACTTGTTTATAAATGACTACTAGCTTACATAAGCTAAAAGGTTGTTCACTTTACCAAACACCCCAATTGTTAATACAGTTGTGTTGTACTAACCAAGAAGTAATTGAATCACTTTTGAACTACAAGGCAATCTTTTGGCGGGTATGCTCTGTGGTAGAGTTTCACAATTCTATTGTCTTTATATAATTGATTAACTTTGAGATGAAACAATGAACTTAGACTTGTTTAACTGATATAATATATAAAACCAATTCTAATTTGCCTAACAGCCTTAATCTTTTATTAACCATAATGTTCTTTTCCTTTGACATTTATTGCATCTTTACATTACCATTTTTTTTTTTTTTGCATGAGTTGAATAGGAAATTTTAAATGGATTGCACTTTTCTTGTGCCTAACAGCTCCAAGATACCAAGACAACTTCTGGAGAAACAGAAGTGAAATTTCAAGTTTCGAGAGATGCACTTGGTTCGATGTTGAGATCAATGGCTTATATTCATGAGCAACTGTAACAGTAGGTGAGCACTTCTTTCACTTGTCATTAAAGTAATTGTGACTGAATACACAAATCTAATTCCATTTTAGTCAGTTTTAGAGGAACAATATCATTGGTAGAAATGTTTTTCTATACTGTCTATATGCTGTGTGCTGCAAACTAACATTGTGCCAACTATATCTGATACCCCATTTACTTATCTGGCACTTGTGTGGTTTCTGCTGAAAATTTATGTACTAGCAGCCTTATATGGGCACTTGTTAGGAAGCAAACAGAAATTTTGTAGGGCTGGAAATTTACTTGAGATAAACTATATATTGATGCTTATGGACATGCACACAGTGTAATATTTCTTTCCATAGAAAAGTAGTGTATGCATAATCTTTTAGATAAAGATACATTCTTATAAACTATAAGGAAAATTACAAGATGTTTAGAACAAGGGCTCCTAACTTTTCACAATCAACATTTTCTAGTTCACAACTTTATGCTCTGTATGAAAGATGATATCTATTATTGCAGTCTTAAGGTATCATGAATGCTTTTTGGCATTGACCCTTATAAATTTTTGTGCATTTTCTTTTGCTTGCTTATTTTGAGTTGATGCATTTTATTTCTCCTTTTGAATTAATCCATCTTCTTTAGGGGGTGTTTGGTTCAAGGGATGTTTTGAGGTGATATAACTTTCCCGTTACTCTCACATAACTTAAGAATGTGGAGGTAATATGACTCCTATGGTTGTTACCACAAATGAACTAAAAACAAAGGTTGGGAATCTCACGTTCCCTAAAGTCGAAAGTTGGGAATCTCACGTTCCCTAAGGTGATTTATTCTTGAATGAAGGCACCAACGTGATGCTTTTCATTGAACTTGGAAACTCCATAATTTCCTTCATATCCACATTACAACACTCTTCTTTGCACCAAAATATAACTTTCAGGCAAATGAGTTTTAGCCTATGCAGTATGCACAGGACTACAGGAGTTATGAAACCCTCCCTCTAAACAGTGATTGCTTCTTCCAAGCCATCCCAAAATGCTCAAATGCTCAATATAACCTTCCTTCCAAAAACTGGCATGTTTTCCCAAGCTACAGACAAAATTTACTTACACTAATTACATCTCTTGAAATCAATAAATTAAAATAAAAGTTAGATATAAAGCTGAACAAGTAATTTATTGCTGCATTATTCAAGCATGGCAATAATGACTTCTATTTTTTGTGTAAGAGTGTTAGCAAACCCCACTATGCTTTTAATAAGTTCATTATTGGAGAAATGCTATACCGCAGATATAAATGCTTTCTCCTCTGATTAACTAGTGTGATGACACTTTTTCTCTCCTCTCTTTTTTGTAATTACAGTTTATCGAGACAGCAGCTGACAAATACGCTTCAATGAGATGCGTTATGGACTTTCTTACTTGGGTTAGTTAGGTGACCCGGCATACTGATGTAAAAGGGAGTTGAAACTTAGTCGTGTATGTATCTATATTGTGAATTTTCTGTATTTCTTAACAGATTAGGCTCTAGTTTTAGGTACACCTAATCAATTTCTTTGTATTAGGAGTAGTCAATATGAAACTGATATATTTGTTGCATAAATGTGGGTTTTTCTGTGCAGTTAGAATGATATCCCCAGAGTGTTAATGACTTTTTTTTCCAACTATGATGATTGCTGGAGCTGAATCTTGAACTAAAATCATAAATATACTTATACACCAAGTTCTCAATTGTTATTCTAGGACCTAAGATATCCCCACCTCTGTTTGCAATTCAGTTTGCTAATATTTACAGCTCTAAGAATCAAAATGATATGGCAATGGCATAATTTGTTTCTTTTCCTATCGTTTGAAACGGTTCAAGATATGTATAATAATGGATCTCAGCGTTGCATTATGCTTACTTTCCAGGGGTCCTGGGATTGTTGGAAGTCAAGCACGTTTAACCACAAAATTCTATGGTACCTGGTTACCATATCCTACTTAAAACCAATTGGTGATAAGTAGGTGGACATTAACCATTTAACCACATCTCTTCATCATAAGCCATAGTGCCACGTCTCGAATCGAGCAGGGGCTAGGCTCGGCCAACCCGGTTGACGCCCAACATATAATATCACACAAATTTTGACCATTCAAATAAATAGTAGTATTGTTAATCTTCCAACCAATGAAATTTACTATACATTTTCCAATCAGGTCATGAGAACAAAGAAAACTATACAAGAAAACTTTTCTATGCAAAATTTTTCCTCACTAAACCAACTTGTTTGTAGTCTCTCAAGATCTACTAGAACTAGAGATGATGTCATGGAAGGTATCCTCCGGACAAGGTATTGTAAGTCCACATGATCGAAGCCGAACACTTCCTCAGCTTGACTAAGCAAGTCTTGGAAAGAAGGGTCTTTCAGGTATGATATTGGAATAACAAAGCGCTTATTCTCGCTTTCGCCAGCATAAACTGCAAAGTACCCCTTAGGAACCTCGCTTTCTCTGTTTGTTCTTGAAGAAGACCTTCTAAGGCCTTGCTTAGCATGGAGAATGCGCGCCATGCTAATTGCCATGTTCATATATTTCTTTTGAAAGTAGAGGTAGGTAGCGTTAATCGAAGAAACTATAGAAACAATTTGTGAATGTAGAAACTAAGATTTGTTGTGAATTGAAGGAAGAAATTTGAGTTGGGTGATTACTATATATCTTGGATGTGTTTATATAGATAGGGGGATTGAGTGGCAAAGAGAAACTTGGAAGGGAGGACAGCCAGCTATCATGATAAGAAACATTACCACATGGTTTTGTCTTATAAAAATCATCAAGAATTTCTATTTTCAACTATGCATATATATATATATATATATATATATATATATATATATATATATATATATATATATATATATATATAAAGAACTGCCTATAAACATCATACCCCACATGGTTCAATGAAATTGAACAGATAGGGATAGCTTAGCTACTTCTGTCATTAAAAGAAAGCCTGTAAAGTAAGTTAATGGTAAGTTGAATGAATGGGAAACAAAACCATCTCTATGTCTCTGATTGAAGCTAATAGGAGCACATGGTTTTGCCTATTTCCTCTAGAGCTTATGGTTGTCTTAGCCTCAAAACTTTAAATAGATCACTTTCATATGCATTTTGATCATCAAACACTGCAATAATCTAAAGATCTAAGGTTTCCACAGATCTTCTTCTTTTCCATTTAATCTCTCTCTATTCTCTAAGTTAGTACCATGATCAGTTCCAAGAAACTCATCAAGTTGGCTAAAAGTTGGCAGAAATTTGCTGCCATCCGAAGAAAGAGGATTTCATTTTCAAGACAAAATGATGATGCGGATAGCTGCAGTGCTTCTTCTGCAGTTAACAAAGGTCATTTTCCTATATACACAGCTAATCAAAAGCGGTTTGTTGTCCCTCTGTCTTTTCTCGAGAATGAGATCATTATGCAACTTTTAAACGTGTCAGAAGAATAATTTGGACTTCCAAGCGATGGGCCTATTACAGTACCATGTGATGCAGCCTTCATGGACTACATCGTTTCAGTCCTTAGCCGAGGTTTATCCAGAGAACTCGAGAAAGCATTGTTTGTCTCAGTTATTTCATATCGGTGTTCATCAGCTTCACTACACCAAGAAGAGCTGAGAAATCAAGAATTGCTAGTTTGCTGATATTAATGTCAATCATTTTTGTAGACGAAGAACTCAGTTGTAGCTCAACACAGCATGTGAAATGTACAGAAATCCAAGACTTGATATCTAATACATTCAGTAATATAATATAATATTCTATGAAGTTCAAATTATGTTCATATCTTCAAATTCATTCTTGGTTTTATTAATGATATATTCACAAGTAACAAAAACCATCCAAAAAGAACACACCCAATTGTTCTACATCACTCAAGAATTAGATCTATGGAGCCAAGCTAATGCTGATGTTCATGAAACTCATGAAAACTCTCAAACTTGTGAATTAGCAGATGATTACTTCATAAATGCATCAATGCTGAAGAGAAATGTTGGAGAGACTTTGTCTATAGAACCATCACCTTTGGCAACCAGAAGAAATATAGACCCAGAAAAAGTAGCCACTGTTACCATTGTACACAGAAAATTTTCACTTGCCAGAAGATATATTCCTTCTTCATCTAGAGCTGAATAGGAGCTGCTAGTTTCCTTTTATCCTAACTGTTAGTGTTTAGAATATGCTGTGAATTTCCTTGAAGAGATAATGGACTGCTAGTTTTACTCAAAAGTATATTCAATGCAACAAGTTGGAACTGGATTTGGTGAAAATTGGATAGACTTTCTGATATTTTCAAAGTTACTGCAAAAATCTATACAAATGAACCGTATACTAAAACTCTTCTATGCAAATTTTTTCTTCACTAAACTAAGTTGTCTGTAGTCTCTCAAGATCTCAAATTAGAGATGATGTCGAGGAAGGTATCCTCCATACAAAGTATTGTAAGTCCACCCGTTGGATGATCAAATCCGAATTCTTCCTCAGCTTGACACAACAAGTCTTGGAATGAAGGGTCATTCAAGTATGAAATCGGAATGACAAAGCGCTTCTTCTCACTCTCCCCAACATAAACTGCAAAATGCCCCTTAGGAACTTCACTTTCTCTGTTTGTTGTTGAAGAAGATCTTCTAAGGCCTTGCTTAGCACGGAGAATGTGCCCCATACCAATTGCCATGTTTTCTTCTTTGAAAGTAGAAACACTGTTAATCAAAGAAGCTATGAACACAATTTGTGAAGGCAGATATTAGGATTTGTGTGAATGAAGGAAGAACTTGAGTGGGGTGAACATCAACTCAAATGCATTTATATATATAGATCCTTTAGGACATGGATTGAGTGGCTATGAGAAATTTGGATCAGAGGCCAGCCAGCCAGCTAGAATGATAGGACAACATTACCACATGCTTTTGTCTTCCAAAAATCTTCTACTAGACATCACTCACCACATGCCTCAATGAAATTGAACAGATGTGGAAAGCTCAACTACTTCTGTCGTTGATCAATACCCATAACAATAAGTTAATGGTATTCCCCTAGAAAATAGCTTAATCAATTTGTTTGAATGAATGCGAAGATTGAGAAACAAGACAATGTGATTCCTTATTTCCATGTGTATCTGATTGAATCTGAATGGTCCCATACTGCTTTCTGGAACATGGTTTTGTCCTCTCTGGTTTCAACCTCTTAAGCACACTTTAAATAGGTTGCTTCCATGTGAATTTGATCATCAAACACTACAACTTTGTCCACCCAATATCCAAGGTTTTCACGAATCTCTCTCTTCCATTCAATTTCTCTCGGTTTCCTAAGTTAGTACCATGATCACTTCTAAGAAACTCAAAAGCGGATTTCCTTCCCAAGACTAAATGATGATGCAGATAGCTGCAGTACTTGCGCTCCAGTTAACAGGGGTCATTTTGCTATCTACACAGCTGATCAGAAGCGGTTTGTAGTCCCTCTATCTTATCTGGAGAATGAGATTATTAGGCAACTCTTGAGCATGTCAGAAGAAGAATTTGGACTTCCAAGCAATGGGCCTATTACACTACCATGTGATGCAGCCTTCATGGACTACATCATTTCACTTCTTAGACAAGGCTTATCCAGAGAACTCGAGAATGCATTGCTCATCTCAGTTACTTCATCTCGGTGTTCACTGCACCAAGAAGCGTGGAGAAATCTGGAATTGCCAGTTTGCTGATATTAATGCCAATAATTTCTGTAAATGAAATACTCATCAGCTGTAGCTCAATACAGAATGTTAAATGTACAGAAATACAGAACTTGATATCCAGTATTTTCAGTAATCTTATTAGAAAATTAAAACTGTTTTCATAGCTTTCAGTCTCTCCTTAGACTTCAGTTTGACACATTTTTGCTCAAAGTATATTCATATAAACAAGTTTGAATAGGATTTGGTGAAAATTGGACAGACTTTCTGATATTTTCCAAGTTACTGCAGAAATGCAGACAAGAATCTATACAAACGAACTCAGGAAAACACTTCTATATATGCAAAATTTCGCTTCACTATACTAAGCTGTATGTAGTCTCTCAAGATCTTCTCAATCTAGATATGATGTCAAGGAAGGTATCCTCCATACAAGGTATTGTGAGTCCACCCGTTGGATGATCAAATCCGAATTCTTCCTCTGCTTGACACAACAAGTCTTGGAATGAAGGGTCATTCAAGTACGAAATTGGAATGACAAAGCGCTTCTTTCCAGTCTCCCCAACATAAACTGCAAAATTCCCCTTAGGAACCTCACTTTCTCTGTTTGTTCTTGAAGAAGACCTTCTGAGGCCTTGCTTAGCACGAAGAATGTGCACCATACCGATTGCCATTGCTTTTTTTTTTTTTTTTTTTTTTTAAAGTAGAGGCAATGTTAATCAAACAAGCTATAAAAAAACAATTTGTGGAAGTAGAAACTAAAGGTTTGTGTGAAGGAAGTAGAAGTTGAGTGGGGTGAATACCAACTCAAATGTGTTTATATAGATCCTTTAGAGGTGGATTGAGTGGCTAAGATAAATCTGGATGGGAGGGCAGCCAGCTAGCAAGATAAGAGACATTACCACATGGATTTGTCTTCTTCCAATCAATCTCTTTCTGTTTTCTAAGTTAATATTATAAGTAGTTAACATCTTTCCTTTGCTAGTGCTTATTCATATTAATTTCATTCAAATGATTGAAATGAGAAAACAGCATTGAACCATATAATTCATTGAATGAATTTCTGGCCTATTAGCATCAAACCAGTCTAGAAATATATACACAATAAATTTGGAATACATCTTACTGTCTATGCCTCCATATGATGAGCAGATATTGTGCTGCTAAATTTTGCTCAAAGTAAATTCAATTAAAAAAGTTGGAATAGTATTTGGTGAAAATTGGAAAGGCTTTCTGATATTTTCAAAGTTACTGCAGAAATGCAGACAAAAATCTATACAAATGAACTGTACACTATAACTCTTCTATGCAAAAGTTTTCTTCACTAAACTAAGTTGTCTGTAGTCTCTCAAGATCTCAAACTAGAGATGATATCAAGGAAGGTATCCTCCAAACAAGGTATTGTGAGTCCACCCATTGGATGATCGAATCCGAATTCTTCTTCAGCTTGACACAGCAAGTCTTGGAATGAAGGGTCCTTCAAGTATGATAGCGGAATCACAAAGCGCTTCTTTTCACTCGCTCCAACATAAACTGCAAAATGGCCCTTAGGAACTTCACTACTTTCTCTGTTTGTTGTTGAAGAAGATCTTCTAAGGCCTTGCTTAGCACGGAGAATGTGCCCCATACCAATTGCCATCTTCAAATGCTTTTTTCTTCTTGGAAAGTAGGATTTGTGTGAAGGAAGAAGTTGAGTGGGGTGAGCATTATCTCAAATGCATTTATATATATAGATCCTTTAGGAGAAATCTGGATGAGAGGCCAGCCAGCTGGAATGATAAGACAGCATTTCCACATGGTTTTGTCTTCCAAATAAAAATCATCAACAATTTCTACTAACAACTTTGTAGATAGAGACCACCTTTAATTTGAACATCACTCACCATATGCTTCAATGGAATTGAACAGATGGGGAAAGCTCAGCTACCTTTCTCATTCCCCAAAATGAGAGATCTATACACAGCTGTAAGTTAATGGTATTCACCTACAAAATATCTTAATCCATTTGTCTGAATCAATTTGAAGATTGGGAGACATAACCATGCGGTTTCTTATTTTTATGTCTCTATATATGACTACACTCCATATCCCATATATTTCTGATTGAAGCTAAAAGGCCCCATCATACAGCTGGGTGGAACATGGTTTTGCACTTTAAATAGGTCGCTTCCAAGTGAATTTGATAATCAAACACTATAACTTTGTCCGCCCAATATCCAAGGTTTCTACACATCTTACTCTCTTCCATTCTCTGTTTCCTAAGTTAGAACCATGATCAGTTCCAAGAAACTCATCAAGTTGGCTAAAAGATGGCAGCCATCCGAAGAAAGAGGATTTCATTTTCAAGACAAAATGATGATGCGGATAGCTGCAGTACTTCTTCTGCAGTTAACAAGGGTCATTTTGCTATCTACACAGCTGATCAAAAGCGGGTTGTTATCCCTCTGTCGTATTTGGAGAATGATATTGGCCGTGTTTGGTAAAAAATTGGCCTATAGGCCAATTTTGACTTATTTGACTATTATTAATTGTTTGATTTAGTTAAAATATTAATATAAATGTTTGGTTAATTAGCTTTTTGCAACTCCAAAATGCTAAAATTCAAAAAGCTACTCCAAGCAACTTTTTTAATTAGCTTTTTGAGAAAAAAAAATTATACCAAACAGCTATCAGCTAACAGCTAATTTACCAAAACACTTTTCTACAATCAGCTAATGTTATTAACTATTTATACCCTCTAATTAACACAATCAGCTAACAGCAAACAGCAAACAGCTATCAGCTAACAGTCATTTTACCAAACAGGGCCAATTATCAATTATCAGTAAACTTGTCACAAGAAGAATTTGGGCTTCCATGCAATGGGCCTATTACACTACCATGTGATGCAGCCTTCTTGGACTACATCATTTCACTTCTTAGTCGAGGATTATCCAAAGAACTCGAGAATGCATTGCTCATATCAGTTGCTTCATATCGGCGTTCATTAGGTTCATTGCACCAAGAAGGGTTGAGAAATCAAGAATTGCTAGCTTGCTGATATCTATGTAAATAATTTTTGTAGATAAGGAACTATCTGTAGCTCAATACATCATGTGAAATGTACAGAAGTCCAAGACTTGATATCTAATACATTCAGTAATCTTCTATGAAAATCAAATTATGTTCATAGCTCAAATTCTTCTCTAACTGTCATGTATTTAATCTATGTACTTAACATTTTTGCCGTTAGATGTTCTTATTTTTTATGTAATGATATATTCATAAGTGATAAAAAACCATTCAAAAAGTGTTGGATATCTCAGCTCGTTGGTATTACTCAATAATAATCCTACAAAATAAGGATTATATTTCTGTAGAAAAAAAGGGAAGGAAAGATGAAGAGATTGTCTTCGTGTTTGGTGTAGGATTTTTAGCAAGAGTCAAGCGATCACTCTTTCCTTAAAACCTTATTTGCTACCTCCCACAAGTGCTAGAAGCGTTGTAGTCTAGGCTTCCCAGGATAAAACTTGCTACGATTCAATGTTTGAGCACCCAACCCAAACAAGGAATCCGGCGAACTAGAGCAACGTTTTGAACACAATTTGGCTAAGAAAGAATAGAAGCAGAAAGTATTTTGAGGTTGGAAAATAAGATTTCTATGTTGTAAAAATCTGCTGCCTCTACCCTCTCTTATATGGGGAGAAATGAATGAATAGCCTTTACTTTGGCAATTAAGGGCACCCCTACACCTTCCTGTAACAGCAACCATTAACATGAGTTTTAATTCAAAATTTAAACTTGGAAACCCAACGGTCACAATAGGACAGGTTCGTGCAGGCCCTCGAAGAACAAAATTCCATTAGGGATTAAGCAATTAAGTGAATCTGATGTCCGAAGTCGCGTATACAAGGAAGAAATATGAAGAATTATACATTAGGCAGATGAAATGACTACTTTACCATTTCATTTAAAGTCCACTTTATCGTAATCTGACGAAAGGACCTCAATTGGAAAGAAATTGAAAGTCAAGTGACGTAAAGTGTCCAAATTAAAAATCAAGGACTAATTTTGGAAAATCAATATAGTCGGAGGACCATTACTGGAATTAACTCTTTATAAAATACATTATTCAAACACATAAAATTCAACGACGTCGCTTTGGACCGCAATAATTTATCCTTTATATAGCTATTTAATTTGGACACCTTGTTTTATGAATAACAATTATAACATACCCCTCAATAGAATTAGGTTCAAATGTAGTTGGGTGCGCTCATGTGCGATTGTACGGTTAAATCTGAGTCATTGATCTTGCTTAACAACGTCCAGGATTACCCAAAAAAAAAAAAAAAAACGGTGACAATTTGATAATTTTTACATTTAGGTCAAATTTAAGGTGCGTGAGTTTTGTGCTTGAGGTGCGTCATGTTTCTTCTTCAAATCTGGAAGAGAACATCGGTAGAGGGTAACGGGCACTCCTTGCCCACCACCCCAAAACTCTTAAGGTGCATCTTTGTATCAAGGTGTGCCATTGTTATAAACGGAAGGTGCATCAACCGCACAACCGCATGGGAAGCTATACCTGCACTTAGACCCTTTCCCCCTCAATATTACTCCATCCGTCCCTAATTGATTGTCTCATTTGTTTTTGGCACGGTTTTTAATACAACATAACAAATGTTACTAACTTTTCAATTTTTCCCCTCAAAAGTAGGTGTTATTTGTACAAAGTACAATTGTACTTACCTCTAGAAATTTGAAAAGTCAAAAAGATAAATTGAAAAATGTAGAATGATAGTTATGTTCAATTTTGCAAATATGACACTATTTTGGGACAAAATAAAAGAGAGAGTAAGACAGGTAAAATAGGACCTTAAAAAAGAAATATTCACTACAAGGAACTAAACCCAACATGAATTGAACACCCAACCTTCTAATCTAGAGTCAAACGCACTACCATTGCACCACGGATCCACAAGTGATAGCCTGCGGCTCAAGATTTTATTCCGCAAGTGAATTTTATAGCTGTGCTTATGGAGCTACGCCGCCTAATTGTGACATAATTCATAATTTTATGTTCGAACATACATACATACATACATATACATATACATATACATATACATATATATACATATATATATATATATATATATATATATATATATATATATATATATATATATATATATATATATATATATATAAAATACAAAAGTCATAATGATGGTATTAATAATGACCGTTACATCTGTTATAGAATAACGTCCATTTATGATATATTTATAACACCCCCCTTGGATATTATTTTACCATAATCATGCCTCGTTAAAAACTTGCTAGGAAAATCCTGTGGGAAAAAACCTAAACAAGAAAAGAGTACAAGATATATGGGTGATAATATTAAAATATAAACATGCCTCGTTAAAAAACTTCACTAGGAAAATCACGTGGAAAAAACCTAGTTGAAGAAAAGAGTACATGATATTTGAAAACTCATATATTGTACTGATTGCCTCGTTAAAAATCTTAACCTAAGAAAACCTCGTGGGAAAAACTTAGTTAAGGGAAAAAGAGTACAATCATAAGCCTTCAAGGCATATATAATCTTCAGGATTTTGGGGTTTGTCTATTTAAGTATTTGCCTTCAAAGCATAATCTTCAAGATTTTGGAGTTTGTCTATTTAAGTATTTATATACAACCTCCCCGATTAATATATCATACTCATACCTCGTTAAAAACCACACTAGCAAAATCCATTGGGAGAAACCTAGTGAGGAAAAGAGTACATGGTATGTATAGGCTGCAAAAAGTATAACTATTAGTCTTTTTAAGACCCAATCTATAGGATTGACAAATCAACAGGATTGACTCGAGTGAATGTACTTCCCGTCTCCCCCTGGAGATAACAATCTTCAAATTCTACATTGCTTAAAGTAAAATCATTGTTTCAAAAGGGTGTAGAGAAGGCATATGGTACAATCTTCAGGATTGTCATTATAATTTATCATATTTTCTCATGATCATTTGGACCAATAAAATTATTGTAGTTTATATTTTGTTGCTCCCCCCTAAATATAATAATTTTTCTTTACCTACGCATATCAATCTTATAGATAGTTTATAGGTATACATTCGCTAACTTGTCACTGGAGCAAATCTTCTAGACAAATATTTTATCACTCTTCTGGAGTTCATGTGGATCAAGGTATTTTATATCATTAAAAACTATATACGTTTTTATCTGTCCCAAGTATGATGACTTCATGTCAAAAAGCATCAATATGAATATTTGTACCTTGATTTTCTATTCGATATCTTATCTCATAACTTAACGGTCACTATGACAAAGCGAGAACCTAGTAAAGTAATGACGAGATGAAAATATACAAAGTATATCTATAAGAACAAGTATTATCCGTTAGGCTTAAGATGCTTAAAGCTTAAATTGCTATCAATTCAAGTCATGGCATTTAACATAATGTCAATATTCAAATGACTTCTCGAAAGATGTATTTTATACCCTAAGGATATTAATGGATATTATTTAACATCATTTCCTTTTCTTTCTTGGAGACACCAAATCACTCTTTGCAAATTACAAAAATAAGATGTGAATTTGAAAATTTTCGGTCTCAAAGAAAAGGTATTCAAAAATGATGTTTTGAAGTAGCGAATTTCTGGTCCTGAATTATCCTCTTAGGTTAAAATGGTCATTTATCTATTTCGGGAGATTAATTGGACATAGATTAATTAGTGTGTGAAATTCCTTTTAAGGAAATGCTTTATCTACAGGTCGAGATAATACTTGATTTTCAATCTCCTTTATTTTACCATAAGCCCCTTAATAAGTTTCTAATGGTACATATTCATTTCTATAATTTCCTATTTTAAGAGGAAATTACTCAATCAATTGCTTTACTATTTTAAGTTAAGTAAAACATTTGTACTTTAACAACAAACATGTTGTGATATTTACTTTCTTTCATTTTTGAGAATTATAAATTCATTAAGGATTTTCCAGATAAACATTAGTGTCTAATGACCCATAATTTTTAGGTCATGACTTTAATAAGCTGCATATCTAGAATTATTCTGCCAATTATGTAGCGGAACTATACGTTAATGATATTCATCATGGAAGAGTATATTTGATTCTGGGTCTATCTCGCTTTATATCTCACCACCTTATCATTCTTGTTTTTCCTTCATACAAATATCATTTATAACCTACAGGGTTAATACGTACTTCAATGGTGCATAAAACGAAAGTATTAGCGAGTTGAGCTATATATAAATATGCCTTTAATTGCTCCTTTATATGTTAATCAATCTAGGCGCTTCTGGCACCTAGTTCTGGATCCATATTGTCATATAATATGAGCAATTTGAAGGGAATTGTGTTGTCGACAACTTATAACATTTTTCAAGAACTTCTCCCATATATATATAAAAGAAATTTTCGAAGAATATAGCCATTTTCCAAGGATATTTATATCTGATTGTTCAGCAACCCAGTATTATGATTATTTGGTGCACCTATAAATTTACTGGGTTTTCTCATCGTCTGGACGATCGTCTTAAAGATATAACTTTTTAAGATTTTTCAAGAGTTCTAAGATTTTCAAGAGTGACAAAGATTATTTACTAGATCTAGTTGTGTGTGGATTCTTTATTTTCTATACCAATGAATCTCCCGCACTTCTGGTGTCAAGGAGTATCGATAGATATATATGGTCCAATTTTGGGAAATGTGTATGGGACCTAGGCACTCTTTTTATGAAATAGATTTATTTGGCAGATTTCTTTCTGAACTTCCAGTTCAATCTAATTGTTATGTGGATTTAATTTTTGAAGATCATTTCATTTCATGAAATTTCTCGGCATTCAATTTAAATTTTGATTATATCTGACCCTAATGCTGTGAACCGATCTTCATGCAGTCAACGTATCCATCACGTCTCTCTCAGGGGCTTTAAATATTGGAGACAACAGATGGAGGTTTAGATGGATACACTATGGTGGTTATGTAATAGATTGGACTGCATTCATAAGAA